CAAACCTTTCACCTCAGACAGAGGTTCACCTGCACATCCGTCAATGTGATCTATTGCATCCGCTGCTCCCGATGTGGCCTCCTCTACATCGGTGAGACCAAGCGGAGGCTTGGAGACCACTTTGTAGAGCACCTGCACTCTGTTTGCGACAAACAACAACACCTTCCGGTCGCGAACCATTTCAACTCCCCCTCCAACTCCCTGGGTGACATGTCCATCCTGGGCCTCCTGCAGTGTCACAACGATGCCACCCGGAAACTGGAGGAGCAGCACCTCATATTCCACCTCAGGAGCCTACAGCCCAATGGTCTCAATGTGGATTTTACCAGTTTCAAAATCTCCCCACCCCCGGCCTCATCCCATGATCAATCCTCCCTCTCATCCCTGCCTGACACAACCTGTCCATCCTTTCTCCTACCTATCTGCTCCTCCCACCTCACTGACCAATCCCCACCACTGCCTAACTGCACTCACCTATCACCATCCCACCTACCTTCCCAAGCCCCACCCCTCCTCTCTCTATCTCTAAGGTCCCTTACCCCTCCCTCATATCTGAAGAAGCGTGTCGACCCGAAACGTCAACTTTCCTGCTGCTCTGATGCTGCCTGGCCTACTGTATTTCTCCAGTTCCACACTGTGTTATAGCAGACAAGCATTGCTGCTTTGGAAGAGTACCTGCATCATTCATTATTAGTTGAAGTAGTTGAATTTTGCGGACCTTATTTGCTTTGTACTGAGTTTATACTTTTGTCTACATCCATGAGTATAACCATACCGTTGACGTCTCCCCTAACTAGTTGACTGTGAAATTTTTTCACAGGAATTTTTCCCCCACAGCCTCTTCGCTACAGTGTCTTCCCTAACCCAGCTGAGATTACTGATGTTTAAAATATTTGTATTTAATACCTTATTCTCTGACTTTGTCATAGGTTTCAAATATTCACTTGTAATATATTATTCACCTTTGGAAAATGAGTATGGTTTTAACGTGGTTTGACATACTTTAAATTAGATGAATAACACTCCTTCTGTACTTTCCTAACATTGTCCATTTAAAAACATTTTGCCCCTGGACATCAGTATTCCCATTGTTACTGGTTAAATGACATGAGCTTTCCAAAATTATTCTCAAATGAGTCGTCTGTTAGATTATTGTAATTTTGTTTAGTCATATTTACTGTCTAAATTGCATTTATACAGTTTCTGTTAGAGTTCACTCAGTCTCATTGTATCTTACAAACTGTCATAGACATCTCACTGTGACAAAAATAAACTTTCAGTGCAGTCTTGCATACATCCATGTATCTCAGTCTGAGGCCTAAATACCCTCTGTGCAAACATCTTTGTTAAAATATTTCATTATTGGTAATCTGACCCAACCGTACTGCCATCTGTTATTTATGTGGGTGGGTATCAGGAGGTCTATCTTTAGGTAAATGGTGGTAAACTGCCTGTTGGTTCCTGCCCAGTATCTTTGAGGTTTAATTCTCACATCTGGCATTATTTCTTGTTTTTCAAATGTTATTTTGTCAAGTTTAAGAAATAACCCTCAGCGCAGTTCAAAATAACAGGCATGCGACGGGCAGTGTGATAGAATTACTGTAGTGCTTTTTTTCTATAATTGGGATATTGTTTAGTGAAAGTCAGCATTTTTAATATTTGCTTTTTCTGCAATAAAAGTGAAAGAATTTTAATTATAGTTGTTTCATAAGCTACCAGCAACTGCATACCTTTTTCAAAAACAGGACTATTCTTCAGTTTCAATGTCTATTTGGTCATTTCAAAATACCTCAGAAAAAGTGAAACCTATCTGTGAATGCCAGGGACATTTTTTTGTGTAAATTTCAAGTGCTCAAATCCATTTTCAATCATCCTAACCTAAAGAAAAACTGTCCACCTGCTTCGCAAAAGCTACTTGATCCAGAAATGCTGGCAGCTTAAGAAGAGTCCTCATTATCGGGCTGTGCCATGTGAAAGTCATTAGTAATGTTGCTTTTTTCAATGGTGAAAATGCTAGTAGAAAGGGTAGAGGGAAGATTCAGCAGAAGTAAGTAAACAGGGAGAAACTGTTCCCATTTGTAGAAGGTTCAAGAGGCAGTGGACACTGCTGAATGCCGAAAGAAACAAAGGTGATTTAAAGAGAAATGTTTTTTTAATGCAGTGAAAGGTGACCTCAGTCGGTGTGGGAATTGAATCCACGTTGCCGGCATCATAATACATTGTAGGCCAGCTGTCCAGCCAACTGAGCTAACTGACCTCTGGTAAGGACATAACAGCTGAATGGCCATCTGCCTTCTGTAAACATTGTGTGATTTCATGACTAAAACCTTCAGAAAAATATCCAAAACATCTGAAAATTAATGGCGCTTTTCTCCTGGATCCCCTGGAAAACAATGTTTCCTTAATGTTAAAAATGCCCTTCCTGATTGACATTGAGGACTTCTGGGCTTAACGACTTTTACTCTTGAAAGAACTATGGCATTCTAACTTTGCATTTTCATCAGACCTACCAGAACACTAGTCTGGTTTCCAGCTTAATGGAATAACATTGTGTGTAACGTCCAAAATAATTCTGGTCTCAAAGCCTCTCAGTCGTAAACACAGAGATCCATAACCTTGTCACCTCCAGACTCAATTATTCAAACATGCTCTTGCCTGCCTCCCATTTTCCTCTCTCCGTAAGTTCTCTAACAACTTTGTTGAGCACATTCTATTCTGTACCAAACTCACCCCTTCACTGAACTGCGACCCATTCCACAACAGTTTAACATTCTCATCCTCCTGTTTAACTCCCACTATGCAAATTGTACTCCTCTAATTATTATTGGTAGCCTCCCTGTCGGAGCAGTACTGAGGAGAAAGGGTCTAAATTGTCACTTATTTGTTAACAACAGTGAACATGAGAACCACCCTCACAAACTGTTATTGGTTCACACTGTGTTCTCTTTCACTGGCAAATGAACTGAGCCTGATGGAAAGTTGCAACATTTGTACTGGTGACAAGAGACTTGTGTGTACATTACTGAATAGTTCAGTGAGTCAATCAGCAATTTATTAAGTGCATCCATAATATCCAGTGGCGGGAAGAAATATTTCATGGCAAACTTATGTAAACCCTATGCAAAAGGAGGAGCAGATGTGCAGACATGCATTACATTTGCAACCTTGTGTTATCAGTGAATTAAATAATTGCCTCTTCCATCTTAGTGATGTTGGTTAAAGTTAATGTTGGTCAGAACCTTAAAGAAGAGTACTCTCCAAGTTCTGTAGCATTTTTTACATTCACCATTCCGGCTGCTCAAATCTTGGCTCGATGTTTCATCTAAAAGATCGTACCTTGGGCAATATCACGCTCCCTCGGTATAGTACTGTAGTAGCAGCTTCCATTGTATTTGCAATAGGAATTATAATTTACTTGCTGCTATTCTTACCGAAATACATTCAAATTGTCTGAAGTGGGTCTTACTTAAAAGATGTGGAATGAACTTCCTGAGGAAATGGTGGATGTGGGCATAATTACAATGTTTAAAAGACATTTGATTAGATAAATGAATAGGAATGGTTTGGAGACATATGGGCCAAGAGCAGACAGGTGGGACTAGTTTAGTTTGGGGTCATGTTTGGCATGGACTGGTTGGACTGAAGGGTCTTTTTCTGTGCTGTATGATCCTTTGACTGTATGACTCCCTTCCCCACCTCAGCATTACCATCTGACCTGCCAAAAATACTAGTGTTAGATTTTATTTTCTTTGTGAACCGGAGAAGGTCTAAGTACAGTACTTCTGTTACTTTGTAATGACATGTATTTGAAAGTTGAAATCTATTCCACATTTTAAAGGTTGAAAGTTGCAGTTGAGATAGAAGATCAACCACAACCTTAATGAATGTTGGAATTGGCTCAAAAGGCTAAATGACCTGCTCCTGTTAGCTGTTTATGTTACAATAAATTTAGTAAAGTAGAAAATGTTACATCCCCACCTCCTTGTAGTTTTCCACACTTATGATGAAATTTTATTAATATCATTTTTTAAGAGTTTAGATTTCAAACTAGCAGTATATATGTGTTGGTCTATTTTTGTAAAGGGGCTTAAAATTAACTAGGTCAGCCTTTCCAGAATCATGATTTTAAACCTGTATGTGCTTCCTGGAGTGTTAATGGAAGTTTGTTTATGCTGTGACATGTTTATGACTGGAAAGAAAAAACATAAAACTATTAGGTTAGCAGAAGCTGGGATAAACATTTTTTTTCCCATTTAGTTCAAAGGGATTTGAGCACCTCAAATTGGGATCAGTAGCAAATATAGTCTTTTCAGAAAAAGTGATTGCTCAGAACTGTTAATGGAATAAGCTACCTCAGTGTAAGGTTCATATTTTGTGAAAACCTTCAGAGCAGGAGCATTTGGTTAGAAATCTGCAATCATTATTCAAAGTTGAGAACTCAGTTGTGTGAGTGTTCAAAGAAAAGGCTTCACAGCTCACAGGACCACAACTTTTAAGACATCGTACAGATTTGATAGGCTTGAATTTTTCTGGTTTTGAGTAACTTTTAAAGTGATGGTGTTGGGGTGTAGATGGAATTTTGTTTTGCTGTATGTTGTAAAATCTTTTAAGCTGTGTTATATGTAGATATCTTGGTTTTTTTTTTTAATATTTATTTCTTTTGTGTAACAAATTCCTGTTTTATTGTTAAAGCCAAGTCTGCAGCCTTGTGTATTTCATGTTGCAGAGAAAGTCGCATTAAACTAGGAAGACATATCTGTCAAGTTGGATTTCATCCTGGGATCTGAGTTGCCCAGTAGTAACATGGATGGGATCATAACACACTGTTTACCTTTTATTTGAGAGGGTGGATGGTCAACTTGCTTCTGGGCCTTTACTTTTTATAGACTCCACCAGGTTCCCTATGAGGTGAATGGTGGTGCTGAACTGTATAGAGCATTTGAAATGTTAATCATTCTGGAATAACAAGTGTGCTGAATGTGTCTCAATCTATTTCACAGGAATTGCACTGTATCCTGGTAAGGCTGAACTGTTGACCTGTAAGCACCATTATCATGATCGTGTTGAGTTTATGGAGAATCCAGGTCAACGAGGAGTAATAAACTGTACTAAGGAATACGTCAGTTACACAGACCCATATAGAAACAACACACTGGTAAAAAATAGCTTCAATCCATTGATTTAACTCTTTTGGGATTACAATTATATGTTCTCAATTGATCAATATACATTTGTTGCACTAGAGATGAATCGGTGCATTTTATACAGTGTTATTGTTAATTGTTTATGTGATGGTTTGAATATGACATTTCTTTTAGCAAGTGGAACCGTTTAGCTTACTACGTTTTTAACTTTCTTATTACAAGATAAAATTGTCAGCAAGTATTAATGTAGTTCTAAATACCCAAAACTTGCTTTAATGACAATTAATTAAACAGAAAATAAAACATTGGACTAGGATGTTGGATGTACTGGTTGGCATGACTCAACCTGTATATTCATGCATTTAGTGGTCCTTCTTTTGACCAGTCTTAGTTCAAGGGGTGGAGCTCCCATTTTTGAGTTGTTTTTGCAGATACAAACCTCGCTCCAGCAATTTGAACACAATCTAGTCTGAAGCTAAAGTGCAATATGCAGTACTGAGAATGTCACAGAAATTCTACCTTTTGAATGTCAAGTCAAAGCCATGCAGTACTCACCAATAATTATTCCTCAACAATCATCACTGAACTATATTTTACAATCATAAGTGTTACCACTTTTTGTGATACTTTACAGTGTGCAAATAGATTGCCACATTTCCCAATATTAGAACAGTGACTAAGCTTCAATTGTTTGTCACAAACTGAGATGTGCTGAGTTGATAAAGACATTTAAAAATGCAAGTCATTGTTTTGTTAGGCTTCCATCTATTTTTCTGATATTTTGGATTGGGACTAGAAATTTTTTATGTTCAGCAACTACTTTAAACTCTCTATGCTGACTTCTCAGTGATTTTGGCAGTCACGCTCCTGGGGCATTAACAATTTGCATTTATATAGTGGCTTGAACATAGTAAAGCATTCCAAGATACTTCACATAAATATTATCATACACAATGTGACACTAAATCACATGAGTTATTAGTAAAGGTGACCACCAAAAGCTTGATCAAAGTGGTAGGTTTTAAGGAACATCTTAAAAGGAAGAGACAGAGGTGGAGAGGTGAAATAGTTTAATGAGGAAATTCCAGAGTTGAGATGTAATCAGGGATGCACAATTGGCCAAAATTGTAGGACATCAGATATTTTGAAGGGTTCTGGGTTTGGAGGAGATTTCAGGGATAGGTTGGGGCAAAGTCGTGGAAGGACTTGAAAATAAGGATGAATGAGTATTTTTGCAATTGAGGTGTTGCTAAGCCAGAACTCCCTGTAGTTTGGCTGTCAGGACGGCAGAGAATGTGGGACTTGGACTGCAAACATTTGGTTGAACTTATATAGAGGTTGCAATGTCGGAGTCTGTCTGAGAGAACATAGGAATGGTAGAATTCTAGAGCTGACAAAGGTGTCCCTGAGTCAGGGACAAGAGTATTAGTGGGCAGTGTTACTCACAGAGCACAAAATGTTTCATACAAGTGGCATTCATTTATTAAATGAAGAATAAAGGTTATGGGATTATTCTTTTTCCCGGAGAGATGTTATAGGGTGGTTTAATAGAGGTGTTCAATATGATCTAGTGTTCAGATACCAGAGGTTTGGTAACCAGAGAGTACAGATTTAAGATAACTGCCAAAAGAACAAGAGAGGGGTTAAAAAGATTTTTATTTATTGACATTCACAATCTGTTATGATTTGCAGCGTTTTAGGTTTTGAAAGCATTTTCAATGATAATTTGTAAAAAAAAAAGAATTGGATATAAGCAAAATATACACAGAGCAGTGAAGACAGAATAGGAGAATGGGAATAAATGAATAGCTCCTTCAAAGAATGGATGGACTGAATGTTCTCCTGTGTAGTATGATCTTTTAGCTATTGAATGTCATTTCTCTTGGCAGATCAAGTGTAGGGGTTGAGGTGATCAGGTTAGGAGTTATGATTCAGCATTGAGAGTTTGTGGTTCATGACTCTCCAACTCCCTTGACTGCAGTGCTGTAGGATAGTTCTGTTTCCAACTAATACATCCCTTGGATCAATGAAATATATTGTCAATAAATGGGAAAATTTAAAATCTACTAGCAAGCCAGATGTTACCTGCTGTATTCACAAACCTTTGCACTGCACTGAATGATTTATAATCTGAAGATCACCAAATCTTCGAGGGAACTGGTTTAGACTTGACAGACTGAATGGCCTCTGCTGTGCTGTAACAATTTTATGATTTATTAGAATTGGAATGAATTCTGATTCCAGCCCTTCCTCACTTCTTCTTAGTTATTGTGAATTTATTTCTAAGTTCACTACGTACAAAATGGATCTCCAGATAAGTCCTGTCGCTCTGTCAAGTTGTTCATTGTGGCTAAACACTTCTTCTCTCTATCAATCCATTGCATTTTTGATTATAGAAATCAGCCCTGATTATCAGTGGACCTCAAGATGTGAGAAAGAAGGAGCTAGTGTTCTTGCAGTTCCACTTAAATGAAACCAAAGAAGATTTTAGTGCAATCAACTACCTCCTATTTTCATCATTCAAAGAGTTTCAGGAGAGGTGAGAAGTTAATGTAAAGAGCATACTAAGTCTTTCTTTCTGAGAGGATGTGAACAGAATTGATATCTGTTGGAATCTGTTGATGTTAAGGGTCACTTTTCAAATGGACAAAAGAGTAACTAGGGAGAGAATAGGGCCCCTTAAAGATTGGCAAGGCCATCTATGTGGGGAACTGCAAGAGGTGGGTGAACTACTAAACAAGTATTTCGCAACAGTGTTAACTGTGAAGAGGGATGTGGAAGCTAGAGTACTTGAGGAAATAAATAGTGATACCTTGAATAGTGTCCTTATTAGAGAGGAGGAGGTGGTGGGCATCTTAAAATGCATAAAGGTGGGTAAGTTGCTGGGACCTGATCAGCTGTACCCTAGAACTCTGTGGGAAGCTATAGAAGTGATTCCTGGGCCTTTGCTGAGATATTTGTATCATCGATAGCATGTGTGAGGTGCTGGAAGACTGGAGGTTGGCTAATGTGGTGCCATTATTTAAGAAAGGTGTTAAGGAAAAGCCAGGGAATTATAGACCGGTGAATCTGACGTCAGTGGTAGGTAAGGACTCTATGACTGTATAAGTTGTTGGAGGGGATTTTGAGGAACAGGATTTACATATTTGGAGAGGCAAGGACTGGGTAGGGATAGTCAACATAGCTTTGTGCATGGGAAATTGTGTCTCACTAACTTGTTTGAGTTCCTTGAAGAGTGACGAAGAAGATTGATGAACGCAGAGCAGTGGGTGAAGTCTGTATGGACTTCAGTAAGGCGTTTGACAAATTTCCATATGGTCGACTAGTTAGCAAGGTTAGATCATGTGGAATAAAGGGAGAACTAGATACAAAATTGGTTCAAAGGCAGAGGGTGGGGGTGGAGGGTTGCTTTTCAGACTGGAGGCCTGTGACCAGTGGTGTGCCACAAGGAACGGTGCTGGGTCCACACCTTTTTCTCATTTACGTAAATGTTTTGGATATGAACATAGGAGGTATAGTTAGTAATTTTACAGATGACACCAAAATTGGTGATTTGGTGAACAGCGAAAAAGGTTACCTCAGAGTACAACAGGAACTTCATCAGGTGGGCAACTGGGCCAAGGAGTGCCTGATGCAGTTTAATTTAGATAAGTGTGACATGCTGCATTTTGGCAGGGAAATCAGGGCAGGATTTATACTTAATGGTAAGGTCCTGGGGAGTGTTGCTGAACAAAGAGACCTTGGCCTGCAAGTTCATAGTTCCTTGAAAGTGGAGTCGCAGGTAGACAGGGTAGTGACGAAGGCGTTTGGTGCACTTGCCATTATTGGTGGGTGCATTGAGTATAGGATTTGGGAGCTCATGTTACGGCTTACAGGACATTAGGCCACTTCTGGAGTACTGCTTTCAGTTCTGGTCTCTCTGCTACAGGAAAGATGTTGTGAAACTTGTAAGGGTTCAGAAAAATTTTACAAGGATGTTGCCAGGGCTATTTTTCCTGGAGCATCAGAGGCTGAAGGGTGACCTTTATAGAAGTTTATAAAATCATGAGGGGCATGGAAAAGGGTGAATAGCCAAGGTCTTTACCCTAAGGTGGGGGAGTGCAAAACTAGAGGTGAGAGGGAAAGATATAAAAGGGACCTAAGGGTCAACTTTTTTCACACAGAGGGTGGTGTGTGTTTGGAATGAGCTGCCAGAGGAAGTGGTGGAGGCTGGTACGATTACATTCAAAAGGCATATGAATAGGACAGTTTAGAGGGATGTGGTTCAAATGCTGACAAATGGAACTAGATTAATTTAGAATATCTGGTTGGCATGGATGAGTTGGACCAAAGGGTCTGCTTCTGTGCCATACAATTCTGACTATGAAATAGCTGAATCAATTGTCATCAAAACATGCTATCTTCCTAAAGTGGAAGGTCAGTCAGATGCATTTTTAATGCATTTCATTAGCTTTAATTGTAAAATGTTGCTGGTTATCAGAATATCATACAAGTCAACAGTTTAGTATCAGCAAATGGCAACCTTAAAGAGCTCCTTGTCAAGTTTTTATTAAAAGGTTGTGATTAATCTATCCCAGAGCCTACATTGTAGTCAGAAATTGATTTCTCTCTCTTTAGCCATCTTGAGCAGGGATATCAGCAGGTTTCAGAGAACTAAACA